GTATTAGTAATCACATCAACATTACCTCCTTGTGAATCTGCTGAATCGTTATATCTTAGCAGACAGCCGTCAGTAATCTTCACTGATCCCACTAAGGCTAATATAACCAGAACAAGAGCAGCTAATAAGGCGGCTAAACCTAGTACCATTATAAGCTTTGATAAATTTCCTTTCATATTACAATATCCAAGTTAAGCTCCACCAGCTCCGCCACCACCGCCTCCTCCAGATGATCCCATATCTCCTCCGCCTGAATTTCCAGCACTCTCTCCTACACCAGAACCCATTTTGTCTTCAGCTCCGCTACCTTCAGAACCTTTTGCTTCTTCTCCTCCTTTTCTTTTTTTATCCAAAGGATTTTCTGGGGGCTTTTTGCCAGCTCCGCTTCTAGAAGCATCAGCAATAAAGTCTGCCGCTTTCTTAGCCATATCAACTATCTTGGTAGGGCTAGCTGTTACACTATCCATAATTGGACCACTAGTGACTTCTGCCGCAAACTGACCAATAGACTTGGAAAAATAATAAAAAATAATAGAGAAAACCAATACATAAAGTAAATCTACCATTAATACTAAAATATCTATAAAAATTGATTTAATTGGAAAAAGAATAAAGAAATGTTTTTCCCAGCCGATTCCAGAATAATATTGTAATAATTTATATCCCGCACTATTTTTACAATCTTCAGAATTACTGTTTGGTATTCTAAGCTCAAAAGTACTAAATTTTTTCTGACTATATTCATAGTCATGCCTCATAAATTGACAATTTTTATATATTGCTGAATCATACATAGTGAGTAATAAGGCAATAAATCCAGCTATCACTGCAGGTTGCACAGCGCAAGAGATACAAATTTTAAGCCATGAATCAAAATAGGCTTTAGTTCTATCAAACAGGACCATAGGAATAAATATTGGAGAAATATAAGTCATAAGATATATAGTTATTAAACACACCAAATAATGAGTAATAAAATATAGAATTATAGAACTAAATATTACTGCGAATCCCAAACCAGCAATGAATGGTATTATTTGTCCAGACATTAATAAACCAAACATTACCGTAAAAAATTTCAATGCTCCAACCTGAGTTAATGCATCTGGGGCTGCAGAACTAGGTTGATCAAAA